GCGAGGTCTATCTGATTTAACAACTCGGGCTGTGGAGGTCCGTGAATCGCCAACATTAGATTCTATTTTCTCCACATACTAGACGTCGACGTCTAGGACTGCAGTCAACTCTTATTTTCCCTCTCCGCCTCGATTAGTCTTATAGACACCTGCCTGTTCTCTGCGCCAGGCATTTCTTTTTTTTCTTCTCCGAGAACGAGCCGCTTGTACAGAACATCTATATGGAACGTGAAAACTTGGTCAAAAAATCAAGGAAGCGACCCACAGGAAGATGCAACCATGATTGGCGCTGCCACAATGATGAGCCGTATCCTTCGGGCCTCAAGAGGGAGGTGCTTGCCAGCCATGTCACCCTCAAGTTGTTGGTTCTGGTTAGAGTTAGGGGGAGTCCGCTTTAGGCAAGAGGCCAAATTTCAACAACACGAAGGCAAGGTGAGATTTGGAGGCAACTTCAGTTGTCGTTATTGATCACAGTATGTCCATTTTCCATGGTGCATTCACATAGCTGATTCTCGCAGCAGGTGTTGAGACACCAACTAAAATTTATGACGGAACATAATAATCGAACGCCCACAAAGAGTCCTCTCGAGACCGAAATAACTTGGAAATGGTCCCGTCAGCTCGGTGATTTTCCTTGTCCAGAGATATCCAAAGATTATCTCCATGACGTCATACTCCCGCAGATCTGTCGGTTCATCGAGCAAAAAGTCGCCAGGTGCACGAAGAAAAATGGTCCACACCACAATGCTCGGGGATGAACTCCAATTCGTCGTCAACCCCCTCTCTATTCCGCCAATGACGATTTAAAAAACCATCGTAGAACAGAGGAATCCATTTGTCGATGAGAGCTTTCGCCCGCTCTTGGAATTTATATTGTTGGAATCTTGATGCAAATTCTACGCGAGGCAGGCTTGCGAGCCGGTGAAGCGCAATATGCACACAGATTATACATACAGCATTTCTCTTCCAAGGTCGCGAGAGCGAGGCAGGCGAGTCTAATGACTTCAGGTCCTCACGACGAGGAACTGCTCCGGAATATCAGGGTTCTCATACGGCGCCAAGGCTGCTTCAGTGTGAAGTTCACCGCTGGCACGTACAACCTGTCGGACCACCTGAGACGTCCGTTAGTCCCTGAACCAATGGCGTGGAATGAGCGACGCACCTGCCAGACTTTGGCGTTACACCCAAACTGAACGACGGTCGGACTGCACTTGTTTATGACCTCCAGGACTCGATCGGGGCGAAGAATAGGGACCGTGTCAATGAACGCCTCCAAGGGGAAATTGATGTGGATTGTACGCATCTTCCGTGCGTGTGCAAGACAGTCAGCAAGTTCGTCCTGAGTCATCAAGTTGATTAGGCGTGTTACAATCCAAGACTAGCAAAACTTACCAGATAGTTGGGGTCAACAACAACGAACAGCTGTTCGAGGTTCGGACAGTTGGCACATATTTTGTGTATCGCATCCATGTCGATCATCATCCTGTGCACTGAGAACCGGATAAGGCTTTCGCTGTGGGTCGTCACCAGGTGGTTCCAGAGTTCATCAGTCAGCGGCGACTCGAAGAACGCGCCAGTGGAATAAATATGGAAGAGCTCGATCTTGGAGAGACTGAGGAGGTCGATGACTCCTTGGACCCAAGCTTTCAGTGGTATTTGATGATGCACTGTGAGTGTGATGGCCCGTAGCTGGGAAAGACTGCCAGAAGCAACGCATTGTTTTGCGAAGAGGTTCATGTCCTGCCAGTGGAAGTGTTTTATGCGGTGAGTATGTGGAGTCAAAGTTCGCTTACAAATGCCAGAGAAACGCCTTCGAGCCCCAATCCTTTGAGACCGCTTTGATTCGTTGAAACGAGTGCCCAGACACCTCGATGCGTGACTTTAGGGCATCCTGTTAGGTGCAAATGGTCGAGATTGACGAGAGACAGAGCCAGTGTCTCGAGGACGGAATCTGTTACGATTCTGGAAGACTTCACAGATGTCAGAGGGTAAATAATTTTGAAAGCATAAACCAACCTTGCATATCAACGTCAAGTTTCGAAGACGGTCGCTCATTTTCGAGAACCACGGCTCCAACTGGGATAGAACCATGACACTAGGCATGATAATGGATATCCTGCTGAGGCCGGTGATTCCTAGCAGCAGCTTTGGGTCGTAGTTCCCATCGTTGTGTCCATTGAACTCCAGCTCGCGCAAATCAGGGCAATAATGGAATGCTTCGAGAATCTCCGAGTTTAGGGAGCCGTCGCGGGTCCAGATGCACGACGTCAGCCCGGTGCAGTTGCGGATACCGCGTAGGACGTGCTGGAGGAGGTCGCTGTCGAGCAGTGTGACAGCTTTCGGAAAATCTCGGATTTCTGAACGTTCGTCGTAAAATTCACAAAAGTTCCTGAAAGTCAGCTTCCAAAGCTATGTCATCAGCTCTAAACTCCGTACCTAGTCTCCGTACAAGAAGTGCGAGGTACGCGCACCGAGAAAGCGTATCAAATAGTTTGACCACCTACATGCTTGTTTGCATCAGATTCTGGCGCAATTTCACGGGGTTGAAAGCTAACATACTTTGTCCTTTCCCTCTTTATGCCATGAATAAATCGATATTCGAGCGTAGAGGCGAGGCACAGCAAAGGTTTGGAAGGTTTTATTCACGAGGCAAGCCGATGCCAGATGTTGTGGCTTCACAACAAAATTCAGCACCTCTGGAAGGATCTCGACTGGGAGATCGATAAATTGCATTCTATCAAAAATCAGCTGTTGTTCGACGTGCAGCGAGCAAGGAAGACGTACCTATACGGTGTTTTGAGGGTTTTGTCTGTGTTCAAGTGATCGGAGCCGTCTTGACGAGAGGAGCGGTACCGAGCGGTCCGGCGTGAGAAGTTGGATTCAGGGGCGACTCGCGTTGAACTCGACCGTGACTCTTGTAAGCTCTTGTCCAAGTCTTTGCCAAACGAAATATGGAGCTCTATTATGCATGGGCTCCTGCTGAGCGGCTCAGCGCTCGCCTTATAAGCCGTTTTTGCCTGTGACCTACCGTTGACGAAATACTCAACCTGCTGGATCGGAGACGAGCAGAACGTAACAGGACCCACTGGCAGTAGGGCATCTCTTATCTCAGGTATGCTTACCAGATTTTTTTGTACACTGCTCAATATCCGTGGAATCGGAGTAAACAGGTGCACGATTCATGACCTGGAGACGTACATCTCAAGTAAAAACAAGCCTCAAGATTCAAACAAGACGCCGCATCGCGGAAATAACTTGGCTTCGCTGGCAAAGCGGCCGTACTACTGCCACTACTTACCCAACCTACCCATCTCCGCCATAACTTAACCACTGCCTCCCAGCTACTCCCTCCGCAGTCCTGCAGCGTCCGTCTTTCTCGCACCGCTCTTGGCACGATGAAAAAGTTATCAACAGGCGTTGGAGGTCACTTGCCTGCTCGTTCACGTACACGCGATCTCTTTGATGCTTCCTATCAGCCAGATCCCGACGAATCGGGACACTTCTATTGACATTTGGAATCAACTATATACGATGGTTGTTCGCCTCTGTTTACGTCCGCGACGGTCCGTCTTCTATCTCCCTTCCATTTGGAGCAGACCTGGTCCCCATGACTGACCTTCTTCGTGGGGAATGGTCCCGTTCCACGACAGCGACATATAACGGAAAGAACCTAAACGCTCCTTCAAGCTGTCCGACCGCCTCTCAGCCAACATGGAACCCGAGAAAGCCATCGTTGAACACCTCGAGGGAGAAGACAAGCTCGCCGAAACCTCCACCTCGGACGCGTCGAGAGAAGATGTTCACCCCATCATCGATCCCGAGGCGGAAAGGAAGGTCGTCCGAAAGTTGGACTATGTACTTCTACCCCTCTTCACTGTCATCTGTATGTGTACCCTCTTTTCTAGCTGAGGCGCGCTCACAGATTTCGTTATAGACTGTCTCAACTTTATCGACAGGTGCAGTGGCTGTCTTCTCTATTGGTGGCGCAGGCATGGTAACATTGACAAACCATACAGAACAGCGATAGGAAATGCTCGGATTGCAGGTGACTAGATATTCATTGTTGCAAATGACTTGGGTTGTTGGCTGACCAGTCGTCTAATCTAGGTCTCGAAAGCGATATCGGGATGCAAGGCTATGATCTGAACATTGCACTCACGGTTTTCTATGTCTCTGTGTGTATATCTACCTCAGGTTTTTTTTTTGGGGGGGGCTCGTCTCATTATCCACAGTACCTTGTTTCCGAGGTCCCTTCAAATCTTGCCCTCAAACACTTTGGGTCGATCTGGATCGCATTCCTGGTCATTGGTTTTGGAGTTGTTGCCATCGGCTCAGCGTTCATGAAGAGCTTTGAGGCGCTTCTCGTGACTCGTGTGTTCTTGGGACTGACAGAAGGCGGGACCCTGGTACGTTATCCAATGTATGATATCTGACGATGAGCTCACTTTCGGCATCCTCTTAGTCAGGTCTAGTATACTTGCTTGCCAGGGTGAGTTCTTCTGGACAATGTCCGATTTTTCCATTGACAACCGTTGCGTGTTTAGTTCTATCGAAGACATGAGCTCGTGATGAGAATTGGCATTTTCTTCGGCTTAGCGCCGTCTCTTGCTGGAGCCTGTCCGTGCCATTCCACTACATTGAAGAACGTCTAACAGAATTTTTTTATTGTGACAGTCGGCGGTTTGTTAGCATCTGGTCTCCTCAGCATCCCAGACTTCGGAATAGTTGCAGGATGGAGAAAGGCTCGTCTTGTCTCCACTGAGTAATGACTTCGTATTGAACGACTATCATCAGATATTCCTTATTGAAGGTGCGCAAGCTCAAGTATGGATGAACTAATTCCGTTCTGATCATCATCATGTTGCCTTTGCATTTCAGGCGTTCTGACCACCGCTGTTGGGATTTTCCTTCTCTTTTTCATCCCTGGAGACCCGACGACAACGAAGTTGTTGAACGAAGAGGAGCGAGCTATCGCCATCGCCCGGCTGGACGCGGACCAAACCGTGAAAATGGGTGGCAAGAAAGAAAGGACGAGTCTCAAGCTCGTCATCCAGTCTTGCAATCTCCATGTACGTAGTTCAAACCTACTCGACGACGTGGCTGTTCATCACCCAGATGCTTAGACGATCGTGTGCTCGCTGGTCTTCATGATGATCAACATTTCCTTCCAAGGCCTTAGTCTCTTCCTGCCTACGGTTGTCAGAACCCGTACGTTGATACACTTCTCTAGCCTTTAGCCCATTGCTGACTTCTATTTTCTCTTTCCGCAACGGTAGTGGGAACATTCAGTAAGTCTTTTTCGCACTGAGATAAGCAACCCTGGTCTAACAATGCTCTAGCCACCGTCGAAGCACAGCTGCGAACTGTGCCACCCTATCTCATGGGAGCTATTTGGGCTGTTGTTAACTCGTGGGCGAGCTTCCGCATGCGACAGCGATGGCTTCCCCTTCTCTGGTCGTCTGTCCTTACGATCATCGGGTACGCGATGTCCATTGCCACAGCGAATCCTGCTGCACGGTGCGTATTTAATTGGACCTTACTCTCCAGCATATGCACATACTTAGAGAAGGACAGATACGCAGCATGCTTTATGAACATCAGTGCTGGGGTTCTCATTGGTCCGATGGTGAGTACTGATTCCACATTTTGAGATTTGCGCGCCGACGTTGAAACCACCCTTGCTATTCAGGTTCTTACTTGGGCAACGGACAACGCGGCGCCTGACACGATGCGGGCTATGGCAACGGCTCTCGTTCCAGGAATCGGACAGCTAGGGGCCATCATTGCGTGCGTCTCTTCTCCTTTCCGTGGCCAAACGAGCTTATAAATTCCTTGCTCCTCCTTTTCATCCTACTTGCAGTGTCTGGACGTATCTCCCGACGGATGCCCCGAATTACCGCAGGGGCAACTCTCTGAACCTCGGGACGACATGTACGATGTTCGCCTTGATCTTTCTGCAGGGTTTCTACATCATGTGGGAGAACAAGCAGCGCGATTTGGGGAAACGCGATGATCGCGTGAAAGGGAAGACGGTGGAAGAGCAGCACGAGCTGGGGTACCTGCACCCGAAATTCCGTTATCAGCTTTAAGTAGCCTACAATCATCATGTTGTAATGTTTTCCTTCGTACTATATTTCAACTGTGCTGTCCACTCGAATAGTAGAGCATACCTTCCAGGTAACACGGCTCGTGTGGGACCGGGTTCAGCGGCCCGGATTCTATTTGTTAATTGCCCCGCCAACAAACAAACGCTTTCGAGATACGTACGGCAAGGACAACTCTGTCTTGACCACTAACCACTATTATGTCCAACGACGAGCATCCTATGTTCGACGACGACCGACACGGAGGCGCACAGGAGGAGGAAGAGGAAGAACAAGCAGACGAGCCCATGGATGACGCACCGTCCAAGAAAAGCAAACCTCGACAGAAAGGTCTAGAAGAGGAGGACGAGGAGGAGGACGAAGAGGAGGACGAAGAGGACGAAGAAGAGGATACGGGACGAAAATCCAAGAAGCGTCCGAAGGTATTTGTCTGTTGCACTCAGCTTTAACTTTTCATAAATCTATTACTTAGCACCGCCATAAGAAACGCGACGCTCTCAGTCGTTTCCTCGATATCGAGGCCGAGGTTAGCGAAGACGAGGAGGAAGAGGAAGACGAGGAAGAATACGGCGCAGGTGCAGTTGCTTGCCATTCAATGGTTACTGTATTTCAACTTCGTTGCAGATAATTTCATTACACATGGCGAAACCGATGACGTGGACGACGAACTTACAAGACGGAACCATGCGCTTTTGGACAGCTCAAGGCATTTTGAAGAAGAAGACAAGAGTCCGGAAGAAATCGCGAAAGCCGTCGCTCGTCGACATCGTGACCGAGCAGTACCATACACTGGTGACATGAATGAGATTCCGCAACGGCTGCTCATGCCCTCGGTTCACGATGCCAGTTTATGGCAGGTTCGCGTCAAGGTAAGTTCGTGACTCGATATGTGTCATAATTGTTTGACTTTTGCTCATGCAGCCTGGGCGCGAACGCGACATCGTGTTCAGTCTTATGCGCAAAGCCATTGATGTCGAATACACCGCGCGGCCTCTCAACATCCTCTCCGCCTTCCAGCGTGACTCGCTACCCGGAATGATCTATGTCGAGGCCCGTAGCGCGAAACAGGTTCAACAAGCATGTCTGGGTCTGGTTGGAGTGTATCCTAGTCGGGGTATCCAGCTCGTTCCCATCGAGGAAATGGCTTCTCTATTGCAAATAAAGAAGCAAGAGATGACATTGACTCCTGGTACATGGGTCCGGATACGACGAGGAAAGTACGCGGGAGATTTGGCCCAGGTTGTGGATCTCACGGAAAATGGCGAGGACATTGGTCTCCGGCTCATACCGCGAATAGACATGAACCCTCGAGATGACGCTGCTCTCGACCCCGCGGCCAAAAAGCGCAAGAAACCAACAGCAGGGCCCGGTACTATGCGACCACCTCAACGTTTGTTCAACTACGAGGAGATCTTGAAAGTCTGGGGACGAAAGCACGTCACGAAGCGGAACCAGTCCTTCGTTTTCCAAAACGACACGTACACAGATGGATTCCTGGAGAAGGATTTCAAGTTTAATGCTCTCATCGTCGACGATGTCAATCCCACTCTTGATGAAATCACGCAGTTCACTCGACGGCAAGATGGAGGAGAGGACAACGTTGTCAATCTATCCGCCATCGCCGAAGCGTCTCGGAAGGCTGCTATTGCCGTTCTTCAACCCGGAGATCATGTCGAGGTATTTGAGGGAGAGCAATCTGGTGTACATGGTGTTGTGGATGAGATCAACGGCGATGTTGTGACTCTCACTGCCCAAGGACTCGACCTCGATGGCCAGAAGATGGAGATTCCCGCTCGCGGTGTCAGGAAACGCTTCAAGCCTGGTGACCACGTCAAGGTTATGGCTGGTACGAATACGGATGAGACGGGTTTGGTTGTTTCAGTTGCCGACAACGTCGTGACCTTCGTATCCGACATGTCAATGCAAGAAGTTTGTGGCTGCCATTTTTCTCGTGCCATCGTTACCTGACTATTTCGTCTAGATATCGGTCTTTTCGAAGGATTTGCGAGAAGCTGCCGAGGTTGGGACAGGTTCGAATACCGTCGGCAACTATGAATTGTATGATCTGGTTCAACTTGAGTAAGTCGTTCTCTGTTGTCTGTCGGCCTTAACTTGGACACGTCGCTAGTGCCCAGACCGTTGGCGTCATCTTCAAAATTGAACGAGACACATTCCGTGTCCTCGATCAAAATGGCCAAGTTCGCCTGGTGCAACCACATCAAATCTCTATGCGCCGTGACTCCACTAGGGCCATCGCCACTGACTCTGAAGGCCACGAATTGCGTGTCAATGACAACGTGAAAGAGGTTGATGGTGAAGTCAGTCATTCCTTGTCTTTGCGATACCGTCTGTGCTCAGCGATGATGTAGGGCCGAAAAGGTCGTGTGCTGCATACCCATCAATCGTTCTTCGCTTTCTTGCACAATCGAGACATCGCCGAAAATGGAGGCGTCTTTGTTACAAGGACCCGTTCGCTGGCATCGTTGGCCCCGAAGAGCAACGTCCTCAAGACAGCAGGAGCCGATCTGTCCAAGATGAATCCAGCTTTGATAGCTCCTACGGGTGGTATGGTCGGGTCGGGTGCAATGGGCCGCGGACCTCGCGATCGTCATATCGGCGCTACTGTCACCGTCATTAAAGGTCCTCACAAAAGCTACGTCGGAACCATCAAGGACACCAATGGTCAAATTGCGCGGGTGGAGCTTCGTACAGGCAACAGGATTATCATGATCGACAAGGAGAAGCTACGTCGACGTCTGTAAGTTCTATTTCTTATTCTCTTTCACATCGATCTCACCTCAAGGACCTTGCAGACCCAATGGAAAGTTGGAACCACTGGATCAACCCCTCCGCATCCCTAACCAAATGGGTCCACCCACAAGCAACTCATATGCCAGTGCGGGAAGTTTTGGCGGCCGGACGCCATTCAACATGGGGAAGACACCGAACCCGTACAACGTAGACGGCCGGACGCCAGCTTGGAACGCATCTTCCCGTACACCAAACCCCTACGCCGACGGAGGAAGGACACCTGCCTGGAACGCCACCTCTCGGACACCCAATCCATACGCAACGGGTGATGGCAGCCGCACACCTGTATGGACCGTTCATGGACGAACGCCGAACCCTTATGCAACGGGTGCGAATGCTGGTGCGCCATCAACGGGTGGGGGATGGGGCGGGGCGACGCCTGGCAGAAACGCTGGATGGCAAACACCTGCTAGAACGGCTGCAACGAGCAGTACGACCACGACTACAACGACGACGAGTGGTTGGGGCGCGCCAGCCGATGGCTGGAACACTCCAGGTCGACCTGCATCCTCAGGATGGGACACGGGCTCGAGCTGGGTGGGTCTCTTCTTTCTTTCTTCTCTCTTTCTTCTCTCTTTCTTCCAGGACACTCTCTTACTAGCGTTCATCGCAGAGTGCCCCTACACCTGCTGCTGCTGCCACGCCTGGCGTGCATCTAGGACAAACACCAGCAGCACCAACACCAGCAGCCGTCAGCCAGACACCAGATGGTGTGTGGAGTCTTCCCATTGCCCATACCGCTGCGACTCCTGGGGTCAGCGCATCTGGATACATTCCCTCTAGAGGTTCAGATGAAGGTAGGCCCTCATTTGATGTCCTTGGTCTGTTGACTGATTACATGTCGCGTGCAGGAGTGGATCCTAACTGGCTGTTCGATCCCGTCCTGGTGAATTACCTGCCACGCCTCAAAATAATCATTAAGGGGACAAACACCGCGCAATATCTCGACGGAGACTACGAGAACAGAACAGGGCGCATCCTGGCTGCACAGGAGAACCCAGCAGAGTTTGAGCAAACAGCCAGGGTGCGCTTCGACGACGACGGCGAGGAGCGGAGCATCATTGCGCGATACATCATCCCACAGACCGCATCGAAGATTCTGGAAGACGTTTTGATCATTGGTGGGACGCACAAAGGCCGCGCCATGGTTGTTCGAGAGCGACCAGAGCATGACGACCGCGATCATAATCCGCTAATCGTTGTTGGAGCAAAACACGAATTCAGCATTGAGAACGTTCCATCGAAATGGGTCGTCCCTCTCGGCGAGTAATTCTGAATTTTGTCAACCCTTTCGTCTACTTCTGCTCCGCTTGTTCTTGTCTTCATATGTTTCCTTGTTGCAATCTAGGTATTGTATAATATTGGGTCTAGCACGGTGCAAACCACAGCCCTTTGCTCAATCAGACGCTATCCTCCGGTCCGACTTCATAGGTATCCAAGAGTCACCGTGGCTAAATAAAATCTAGATTCCAGGTTCCATCCTTCAGCAAATATGCTACGTACAAGTTGCACCAGGTTCTCGAGAGGGCGCTTCGTCCTGAGAGACCGCTGGACAACCTTTCTTGAGTTGCAGCGGCCATCTGAATTCGAAGGAATTCGATTCGCACGCAGCTTCTTTGGCGCTCCCTGAAGTCGAGATATGGATTTTCCTGAGACAGCAGAAACAAAGTCAAAGACGAGTTTCGGGGTGATCTCAACAGATGGTTTAAGCCTTGAAGCCCTTGATCTATGTTCGCTGTCCTCAAATATAAATATGAATCACTACCAATGAAGCAGTGCATTTTATCTTACGTTCCTCAATTTAGCTTTCTTTCTTATGTCTTGCTATTTCTGGCTTCGCAGTTTTTCCATAAACGCGACCGCTTCGCATCTTGGCTACATTAATGCAATATATGCTTCAAGGATAAGTGACTCCCAATGCCCTCCTCCTGAATTTTCGTCCCTCTTGTGTATATGTGTGTGTGTGGGGGGGTTAGATGATCATTGAGAATAGATTCCTAATACGAAACATGGAAGGAATAAATTCTTTCCTTCTATGCGAATTCAAGCGGCGCAGTGACTTTCATCCATCTCCCTTCTGTCCTGCAGCCCTAGGCTGATCACCCTCGGAGGTCATGACAATCATCTGTGGATATTTATTCGGCAAGAAATCCACGAAGTGAGATCATCGCCGTGCGAGAAATATTCTTGTCCACTTGATATATGTAACACGCGGGCGTGATATTCAAGTTGCTCTCGTGCTCTTGAGCAGGCACAGTGAAGGCACTAAATAAATATCGTATCCGGCTATCGGCCGGCATGGGATGCGTATCTCAAGTATAATAAACTACGAAAAGGCATCGAGAAACGTAGCCCCTGTCGGGATTCTGGTTATTCCAAGTGCAACTTATGTAATCAAGCCTGCTGTAGGCGCTCGTCTTTGGGCGCCTATTTATCGTCAGCATTGTCGTCTATCATCCCGTAGCCATACTCATGGCTATTCATCGAGAAATGGAATAATAGATAACTGGTAACACACGCGATACTGCTCAAATCAGCTGATTTGTTCAGTCTTCTTTACATCATGTTGGCCGAGTTGAAAAGTTTGAGAGAAGCTCTACAACCACGAGCTGGCCGCAGCAAACATATAATTGTCTTCGTTATGTCGTGACGTCCTTCAGCTTCTTTTGACTACTTCTCTGAACCCCGTTCTCATGATATACGGTTTCATTTTGTTGAGCGGACAGACAACTACGCCGCGCTGGCGTAGTTGTCTGTCCGCTCAACACATTTATGTAGCTCAAGGTTACTTGAACATGTTACGTCTCAATGCTCCACGAACCCCAAAAACGCATCAAATGTCCTCTTTTATCTTACTTCTATCATATTGACACCATCTGACCTGGTGTTCGAGCCCAGATCCGTCATTTTCCGTGCCGGCTGTTCGAAACTGGTCGCGAGGTGGAATGCCCGCGGACTTTGGCTTCTCGACATATCTGACATACTGGAAAGACATGGTAGGTAACGCCCTCCCATACAATCTACGACTCGCTCGAAGTGATCAGTTGCTCAGCCTTCGCTGACCTCGGTCTGATCGTGCACTTGAAGGGCTTGGGGTGGCTGATCAAGGGTGAGTGTTATGAACAGAACCACGTAAAATGGAAAAGAAGGCACCTTATGGTCCCTGTCGTTTGTTCTGGGGTTGGGGTGTAGATAAGTCCGTCCTTTGCGAACTTGGTGATCTCGAACACCGCCAGCGACATGGCACACGAGATGAAGAGAGAAGCGTCTGCGAGAACGCGACCTGTTTAGGCAGTACGGCCCCGCATGAGCAGAAGAACGAGATGCTCTAGTCTCTTTTTGCTTACCCGGACATATTCTACAAATAGTGCGTCGGAAATAGGGTTGCGAGAACGGTTCTTTTTGTTAAACGACACACCTTCTCCCAAATCCGAAACACATATATGTTGGTTTTTGTTCCGGCTGTGGACCTAAAAACCTTTCTGGCCTGAAACTGAAGGGGTCGGAGTAGACCTTGTGGTCATGCGACATTCCCCTGTGGAGCAATTGTTAAAAGAGCGAGAGTCAGGGAGAGGCATGAAGATGAGTAGTCGCGACACTTCACCAAACGTTCGGGATGATCAATGCGCCCTTTGGTATTAGGTAGCCGTTGTGGATATCATCTTCAGTGACACGATGGGGTACACCTTCATCATTGCAATTTCAAGATACGTCAATGAGTGAGTACCGAAGACGATAAAGACTATACACACCTGTCGGAGTCACGCTATGCCACCTGAGGACCTCTAGCACGACCGCATTGGTATACGGTAGCGCGTCGCGGTCGGAGAAAGTGGGTAGTCTGTCTGACCCAACGACCGTGTCGATCTCTTCCTGTGCTTTTAACATGACGTCTGGATGAAGGACCATCGCGAGGAAAAAAGCATAGATGGCAGCTACGGTCTGTGGGTAATTCGGGGTGGTCAGTGGACGCACGTCTGACTTCATAGCAGGCTGAAAATAGATTTACAGTATCAGCGCCACCGGAGTACAACGAAGCGGCGGACCACTTGATGTCGTGTTCGCGTTCCGGCGTTAGATCTGACTCTTCGCCTAGCAGCCGAGATGTGAAAGAGACCTCAGCGGTTCCGAGTTTCTAAAAAGCGTATGAGGAGGGATTCAGAATTCTAAGCGACGCGAGGTGCCTGGGAAATAAGGCGTACCATTTGCTCTTTCACCCATTCGTGAGGGCCATCTGCCATCATTGCCAGAGTCTTCGCCCATGATGCGGCTGTCTTCTTGAAGCCAGCTCCGGGGACCCAGCCAGGCACATGGCGGACTGTCAATTGCTTCAACTCACATCTCTGCGCTCGAGACCGAGGCAACTTACGGGCAGGTATGAGATTCACGAGAAATCCTCCCGGCGCAGTTGACAGCGAGAACTGCTCCGTAGCTTCATCCGCCAGCGTCACAAAGGGATCTTTGTTCTCCTGGATTTCATAGCCATGCGAAATACGCAGGATAATGGCTCCCGCGGTTCTTGATAAAGGAGGGTGTGCGTAATAATAGCAGTTATCAGCAGTGACATTCGATGTACCTGGAGTGCCCATTTTATTAATTTAGGCTGAGGCGTAGCACGTACCTGCGCACATGATCGGCCAGATGCTCGGGTTGCGCCAGGACGTTCTTCAGAAAGCGGTGCGTCTCCTTCTCTTCAACCGCATGAAATTCGGACATGGATGCGGGGGTTCCTATACTCTGGTGGAAGAGCCTGCGATAGTTACGAAAGCGATCGCCGTATGGGATCAGAACAAGGGTGTTCTTCCATCCTACTAGCTCGCCGCCCATCTGCATCACTGGTCTGTCAGAGTATACTGAACTCTTCTTGTCAAGCATATCTATCGCCACCTCAGCTGAGTTGAGGATGATCATTTGTTGACCTAAGACAGATACAGATATAATGTCACCTAAACGAGCGAGGTGTTAGAGACGCAAGAGAATTCAGCGGAAGGATGTACCCCATTTTTTACCCCATTCCGCAAAGGTAAACCATTCTTGTTTTGCAGGAATGTCCAGGAGATTGCCGATCAGTGGTAGCTTGCGCGGACCAGGAGGTAATGGCGCAGCTTTCCTGGAGACGAATTTCTTCAGGATGACCACGGCAAGGAGACCAAATGCAGCATCAAGCAGAGCAAGGAATCCTGGCATGGCAGAGGGAATAACCTCACGAAGGAGGGGCAAAGAAAAGGTCCAGGTCCAGCAGATCTTCAACTCGCCTACATATATAGCTTCGAGCAAGCTCCAGTCCGGCGATTTAGCGTCTGCATTTGCTCGGGTAACCCAACCGTTGTCAGCCTCTTAGTAATTCCTAAGTCCTCGGAAACCTTGTGTGGGGCCATCTGTTTCAATCTAAGGGGCCGAGCCGTAAACAGGGTGAAAACCGACAATCTCTTTGGTTCGGCGGGTCCGGTCCCAATTTTGTCTGATAGATCAGACACATCGGTATCCTGTGGCTTTAGGGTATCTTCTTGTAGTTGCCTAAAATGTTGTAAATGTCCCGGTGGCTGCGGTTTCGTCTGGTTCGAGGTCATGGTTGATTCCGAAGAACGAGCTAGAGACAGACAGGAGCATTCCGACGTGCCACATAGCGTGGTTGACTTGAAGAAATCCGAGAGACCGGCGAAGTTCCAGGACGCGATCACCTGGTTGAGCGCAATACGTGATTGCGCTTTTCGCGATTGGGATTGGCATCGTCAGTGGCGTCGCCTCGTTGCGCGTTCAAAGGCTTCCTTCAGGAGGCTACGCTGCCGGGCGCAGGCTTATCATTGACCGTCTTGCCAGCTGAGAGGAAAGGTAAGTATCTGTGAAAGACCTGGGACAAAGCACAGAATCTTACTCTACATAACTCCTTTTTGGCATTTGTCCAGTGGTTTTTATAAAGAAAAGTTAGTTATTGCAATTGGATACATTCTTGAACGATTTGAATCCCTGCACCACATTTGTAGCAGAACTCTTCAGAACTGACCAAATTTTGAGATTCAGGGAGAGGGTTTGGAGGACTGGCAAAACCACTTATTTCATCTAGAACTGTCAGTCCTTCGAGTTTTGCAGTCTACGGATCGAGGAGACTGTGATCACTAAACTGACGAGAAAATGGGCCTTTCAACGCTTCACCTTGAACGTCCAGGTGATCTCCTTGACTCGCTCTCCAGTTGCCCTCCAGTTGCTCTCCAGGATGACAAGTACACTGGTAAGGATAAAGAGTTGCAACGAACACGGAATGATGCCCTCCCCGCGGTCGTTTAAATCACACTCTCAAAGATTCGTTACAGGTGCTTAGATGAACGAAATGAAGAAAGGTTCAGTGGAGAATATATTTGGCAATTTCTTCCAGCTTCATTTCCGAAGCGATTCCAGCTGTTTCCACTACATTCCACATGTTTACGTAATCATGACCTCAGAATAAAAACCACCTTCAGCGTCAGGGGGCGCCTAACGATACTACGTACTGCAAGTTCGCAATTCAAGACGATGTCCAAGCCGGAAAGACCCCTAACATTCTTCGACATCACCATCGGCGACAAGGCTGTCGGAAGAATCATCTTCTCGCTGTATAGCGATCTCGTTCCCAAGACCGCAGAGAACTTCCGTCCGTTTTAGCTTGTTTCTAGGGAATCTGAAGGCTAACCTTGTCCATAGGCCAACTATGCACAGGCGAGGCGGGAATCGGCCACTCGGGGCACGCTCTGTGGTACAAGGGATCGAATTTCCACCGCGTCATTAAAGGGTGAGTCCGGTAGCTGCGTGTATGAATAGACGTTGACGCTGTGCAGATTTATGTGCCAGGGTGGCGACTTTACGGCAGGGAATGGTACGATGGCGCGTCAAAGACCTAGGATCAAGAGCTGACAAGTGTCACAGGGACCGGAGGAGAATCAATCTATGGCGACAAGTTCGAGGATGAAGCTTTCCCAGTGAAGCATACTAAGCCCTTCCTTCTTTCCATGGTAAGTTACGTCCTCCAAAAACTCTGAAACGGTCTCACTTTCGTTAGGCAAATGCTGGTCCTAACACCAATGGCTCTCAATTCTTCATCACTGTCGCACCGACTTCACACCTCGATGGCAAGCATGTTGTCTTCGGAGAGGTGATTAAGGGCAAGTCAATAGGTGAGCTATACGTCTAGGACGCGCCTAGATCCACATTGACTTTACTCCAGTCCGTCAGATCGAGAACAACCCAACATCGTCCGGAGATGTGCCAACTCTCCCGGTCAAGATCGTCGACTGCGGTGTTCTTGCCCCGGATGACCCTTCATTGGTAGACGACCCCATGTCTCAAGCTGACGACCCTTACGAAGATTACCCCGCGGATGAGGATCGGGATACCGAGAACCCGGAGGTCGCTCTCCAGATTGCGAAAGATGTGAGAGAGGTCGGCAACAAACTGTTCAAAGAAGGGAAGGTAGAAGCGGCTCTGGAGAAATATCAAAGTGAGTTCATGCCACTGTGTCTGAAGCTTCGAGGGTTGAACTTCGCCTAGAATCCATTAGATACCTTGATATCCACCCCGTGCTTCCTGAGGATGCTCCACCTGAGCTGAGAGACAGCTATGACGCTCTTCTAGCCCCACTCTTGCTGAATTCTGCCCTCGCTGCTATCCGTTCGCAACCCAAGTCTACAGCAAACGCTATGATTGCTGTTGGCAATGCTACCCGGGCGTTGGACAAGCTGCAACTTAACGATGCTGACAAAGGTCAGTCTGCGATCCTCAATGGTTTTATATACGCTAACTTTGGAATTAGCGAAAGCTTTGTATCGGCGCTCCCTCGCGCATCTTTACCTGGCCGACGAGGAAAAGGCTGAGCAGGACCTCACCCAAGCAGCTGAGCTTGTCCCGGGTGATGCAGCCATTGCTGCTGAGCTGGGCAAGATCAAGCAGCGCAAGAAGGAGCAGAGGGAGAAGGAGAAGAAGCAATTCAAGAAGTTGTTTTCGTAGAATCCCAAGAGTAAAATGTAGATTAGATGCAATAGGAAGCCCCTAAATTGAAGTCATGAACAACCAAAAATAGCAACGCCACTACGACGTCGAACACCTTTCGTTCTCACCACCATCGCGCCCAGCTGGCCCCAGCACACTATGGCAGCCATTGCCCTTGTCCAGGAGCTGCTGCGGTCGCCTGATGAGGTGAAAGCCGTTCTGGAAGCGACCCTCATTACTTCTCCCAACCATCTCGACCTAGACGCCCCGAATCCCCGGAGGGATGCGCAGAACAGACGTGTTTTGGCGGTCGTATCGCACAAAGACGATTGGGATCTCACAGAGGAAGGATGGTGCGTCGATGATACCTTGTTGGACCCCCAAAATCTCGTCAATAATGGCCGATTTGCAGTCTGTTCATCTGCAAGTACAAGCCAACGACAGACGGCCAGCAGGCCGAAGAACTCGATGTCCAGCGCGTGCTGCCAGTCTATGGGGATTTTGGGATCACAATGAGCCAGTTGCATCGGGGAAGAGGCGAATTCCGACCGCCGACGCCTGGCTCGGTGAGCAAGAGCAAGTCGGTGTTGGACCAGCCTCAGCGTGCAGGTGGATAGGGCTGCCCTACTTCCCCGCAGACCGCTGATCTTCGTGCAGGACTGTCGCTTTCCATCACGCCCGCCGAGGGCCTGCGACCCGACGTCCAACCGCCCACGTTCTACACGCACGATGTTCAGGGGTTGAAGCACCTCATCACCGAGTGCAAAAGGCTGAAGGACGTCTCTGGTGCGTCTCTGTTCTTCTCGGAACGCTTCCCCCTGTCCCGTTGACGACCACTGATCGTTTTATGTTTTATTTTCAATTCTCCCCTTGAACGCTTCTTTCAAATCCCTGGCGCTCGCACTATTATTGGTGTATCATCGCGACATGGCCGCAACGTGATACCTGTGGTATTTTTGTTGGTGGTGCTGAATATTTTCTGAATTGGTCAGATGTGGACGCGAATGCTGTGGTCAACCTTGCCCAATCTACGACCCACTTCAGCTGGCTGAAGCCGTATTTCACCAAACGAACGACGATCGCTGCATGTGCGACTTTTTCTTCCATCTGACGTTGTACGTATGCTGATCTTTGAGCCAGTGACGTCCATGGCCCAAGATCTCCGCCAGATCAACCGCCCACTCCTTGAGCGTCTCTCGCCAGCATGCGCGGGGCAAACGAGTGACGACCACGCCGACATCCAGGTGATGCGCGACGATTGGATCCGAATCAGAGCACAGGAGATGTCGAGGGAAGGAAGGAGAGCGCTTACGTGAGTTTTGCTTCCCTGTAGAGTGCATGCTCTCCTAATTGACGATGTGGAGGTACTAGACTCCGTCTGGGTACTTTCAATGTCAACGGGATGATGCCCTCTCAAGATCTGTCTGCCTGGGTGCAAGGAAACACCAGTTTCAAGAGCGTTATTCCCATTACTACACAGGAAGCCCCGTCTCTTCCTCCCGTTAAGAGCGTGTCGCCACTATCGTTGGGCGAAGTCGTGGGAAACCCATTTGATTGGGGTGCGTTTTGCCTCAGCCTCTCTGTCGGGTGGTGTTGATTAGGCATTCAGTTACGCATACAGCCAAGTCCAGCTCGCAAATCGAAAAAGAGGAAGAAAACAAAGAAGATCCTTCCCGTGTTGATCTCGAAGACCCGGAAGATCCAGATCTATTTGTTTTCGGCTTCCAAGAGCTTGATCTCTCAACAGAAGCTCTGATCTACTCTACAAGCACGCTCAGAGAGGACGCATGGTGCCATGCAATTTTTGCTGCCCTCGGAGAGAAGGCGGTCAAATACGAAAAGGTCGCGCCGTGTTCTTACATCGCGATAGGAATCTGACGCGACTTGTAGCTAGCCTCAAGGCAACTAGTTGGAATGCTCATCCTCGCGATTGTGAAAAAGGGTCTCAAGGGCTGCTTTGGAGAGGTAAAGACGGCCTCAGCCGGTGCAGGGATCCTCGGCGTCATGGTGTGTACATCGCCGATTTCTCTCGCCTGACGCCATTTCTGACAGCTCTTTCCTAAGGGGAACAAAGGTGGTACAGCTGTTCGACTAGCCTTTACGCCACCTGTCCCATCGAAGGAGGGCAAGGCCGTCATCGGCTCTCCAGGATCGACAACCTTGACATTCGTAAATTCCCACCTAGCTGCGTTCGACGAGATGGTCGACAAGCGCAATTTAGACTTTCATGACCTGTCAAGGCGTCTGGCGTTTGATAACACGACCCCGAACAATTCCTTCTCACCCGCTCTGTCTGACCAGGGAAGCGATAATGGGAATATTGCTAATGAAGCGGGCATCTCGGCTATGGGTACTACGCCGCCGCTTTCAGTCTACGAGACGGACGCGCTATTTTGGATGGTACGTCGCATTGTCAGCATTGTATGCATTATGCTGATTGACGTCGGGGCATTCCTCTACAGGGAGGTTAGTTAGAGTCCAGTTAGCGTCTGCACTCAATCTGAGAACCGAGCGACAGACCTCAACTACCGCGTCGATATTCCTGACATGGACATGAGAAGGATACTTCGAGATGATGAGTGGGATAATCGCCCCAAGTTTGAGGCTTTGCTTCGGTTTGATCAAGTATGCAATCAGGAAAGGAAGATGCCCTACTTTCGATCTGATTCTATTCTAATAGCTGAAGAAAGCCATGCAAGCGAACAAGGCATTCGCGGGATTCCAGGAGTTTGAGGTCACTCACATGCCGTACGTTCTATGCCATCCGAACGAGAGATCGCAAGCTGACTTGTGCCGTCGATCTCAGGACATATCGATTTAGCCCCGGATTAGCAATGGATAAACTGGGCTACGATATCAAGTACGGATACATTTTTAGTTTGAGAGAAATGGTTTCTAACTATCATTCCTTAGGCGAAAGCCTGCATGGACAGATCGAATTTTGTACATGCATGGTCCATTTTGCAAAATCAACCAGCTATCATACACTAGTCACCCCCAAATAATGATGAGCGATCATCGACCTGTCGCGGCTGATTTTGTCATCGGTGTGGGTGCATTGTTCAGCCTTCAGTCTTCGAATAAGGAAGCGACTGAATGTATGCAGATCAATCTTTATGACACCGAAATCCACCAACGGAACGTCCACAAGCTGTACAACGACGTCACCGAACTCGACGGAGAAGGTGCCCATCAACGAGGAGGGCTGAAAGTCGAGGACACCTTCGTCGACTTTGATAAGATTTAGTGGGTTGATTTCTGTGCAACCCGAGTTAGGCAGCTGATGACCCGTCAGCCACGGAAAACCAGTAGAACGGAAACTCTTGGTCAAGAACGTTGGAAAGGTTTGTCACGGAGCATTGGCGTTGTGCTTGGTGTCGCATCTCAAGCATCGTGATTTCTGCTTGCCAGTCTCCATATGCCTTCCGATTTGTCCCCATTCAAGTTGATTCCCCTATTCGCAAGTCTTATTCAACTGAGCGTTTGGCATGGTTCTAATCTTCCACTAGACCCAGAATGGCTCAGAATACACCCCATGGCTGTCAGTTCCACCCGCGTTTCCAAGTATTCCCGCTACTTCATCCTAATCAGTTTTCCAGGGTGTTCTACTACCCGACGAGGTGACGGAAATCATTCTGAGGGCCTATGTCGACGACACCACAGCTTCGATACTCAATCTACAACCCAAAGACCTAAGCGGGACGTTGATCTTACACACTGTTCTTGGGAAGGATCACTTCATCTCGGTCTCCGGAGAGTATCGTAAGTATACCCCTCGCGAATCAGCTCTCAGCCCTCGTGCAATTCGATTAATCAATGATGTCAGAGTACACCTGCTTCGCCAACAAGCTCTCGCGGTTGACCCGGCTACGCGGCTCTATACGTTCGATGGAATCGCCGAACGACATCCTACGTGAGAATAACCCAATCAACGCACCAAGAGAAGTAATGCGACTGGTGAACTGGATGATGTCAAGCACATCGAATGTAGTAAGCGACGTTCCATCATTACTCTGAGCGCGTCTGACAATATCAGGATGGCATGTTCGTCTCTCCTGGAGATGAGTCCATCGTGGACGAGATCCGAGAGGTTTGATCCCTCTCATCGTTCTGTCCTGTGCTAACAGTTGGCCGTCTGTAGTGTCTTGACACAGGTGCAGAGTTCCCGTACTCTGCCTCTACGTCGGACCCTCGAATATCTGTCGCATTTGCTTCTACTCTCCTACGATTCCTTGACGCACTCCCCGAGCCGATAATACCTGCCTCCTTGCACCCACAATGCATTGAAATGTCTAACCGCGATGAAGCTTTTGAAGTACGCTTCTTATCTGGCTGCTACCCATCACATCTCCTGATATCCTTGTACAGCTCCTAGATGCTTTGCCGCCAGCATCTGTAAATGCGTGTTGCATTCTTCCTTTTTTGTTGGTCCAGATCGATTAATTCCCGATGACCAGGTGTGGATATCGGTCACAGCATTTTTGTACTACATATGCCAGTCTTCCGGCGCTGAAAACCTGGCGGTGCAAATCGGTCAGTAGCTTATGTTAGGCACAAGTTTCCTTTGCTTATGACGCCCACAGCCGCGATTTTAGCGCCTATCCTGCTCAAGGATGATCCAAATTCCCCCATCACACCCATATCGCCCAAGGCAAAATCTAAATTTCTGTTGTATTTTATTACTTGAATTCAACCCTTCAGGATTCGAATGAAAGGAGGCATCTTCCGTACTTGCAATGTTGAGTTTCTGAGCATTACGACACCAGTACGGCGCAGTACGGCGCTCTTTAGCCCCGGTGCCGATGAACCAAAGTGGAAGTTGGCACCTGCGTCCAGCCGAGCGAAAGCTAGAGGGGCGATCTTTCCCACGTTACGTTCTTGCTTCCACCACTTTCCATTGCTCGAAGTCGCGGCGCGCTCATCTCGAGAGCCGCCGACTTCTCGCAAACACTCGTTACTCGTCCTCCCCCCTTTTCAAACTCCTAGCATGACCAACAATCACGCTCATTTAGGCCTTAACCTTCCAGGCACCAGCCAGAATCATCGCAATACACAACAGACCAGACCGGCAGAACCCCCTCAACATCTCCCCACTCCTACACCAACGCAGAGTTCACCAGGGACGACTGCAGGGTCATCCTCCGCTCACACTATGCACCACGATTCCACTCAGAACCCGCCGGCGAACCGTATGGCACACAACGAGGATGCACAGCGACTCCGAGCCTTTCAAGAGGAGAATGCTCGATTAAGAGCAGAAGTCGAGGCTCTCCGCAATGCATCGAATCCCCGCGTCAACCCCGCCGAACAGCAGCACCCACAGCAACACCCACCTCCCCAAGTGATAGAAGCAGCATCCGATTTACGTGCCCCTCAGCAAGTCGAGGCCGGGGCAGCAGCAGCGGCAGCTACCATCAACCAAGCACCCACTCGCCAAGCCTTATACGAAGATGAGGCGACGGTGGCACGCATTCGCGAATCGCTGGCTGCCCGGAAGGAGGAGGAGGACGCCCGAAAGCCCCAATTGCCGGACATCATCCCGGGCTTCAAGGCAAATGCCCTTAACTTAGGTGAGTTTTATGCTCTCTTTCTTCGTCGTCGCAGCGTCCGCTACCCAGTAAAGCTGGGCCGTTCGCACAGAGCAATAGGCTCGCTTCGTTGCCACATCTATTCGGTGGCCCGTCGTCGTCTTGCTCGCAGACCCTTACTTTCGCGGAGGGCATGCTGAGGCCGTAACTCTGCTCGGGTACGGTGCATTGACACCATTCCACCCTCCTCGTTTTTCGTGCCATTCATTTTCACTGATTGGCAGCTCGCTCACATGCCCACCTCTCGTAGCCGTCCCACCAAAAGTTGACAATGCCATTAAGGCATTTCAATATGTGCCCTACTCTGCTCTTACTACCTCCGCACGCCGCAAGGCAGCCCGAGGGGAAGAGGAGTTGGTGCCGAACGCGAATGGTGGTTGGACTATCAAGGGCCTCGATCGCAAAGGAGAGACGGAGCTCGGAGAATTGGAATGGCTAGCAGCTGCGAAAGCAGCGGAGGAGCGAACCCGACACCACCACGGCAATGCGAGAGCAGATGCCCTCGCTAGCCATCACCTCCTCGTAACTGACCTGGGCCGCCTACACGGCTGGGAAATTGCTCTCGAGTATGACAGGCAACAACGGGATCTATGGGCACGCTACCCTTCGCACGACATAAGCACACTTGACCGTGACGCTCTCACAATCATCGCAACCCAATACCTTGCACCAACGGCCACAAGGCAGTTACATCGTCGTCGAACCCAACGAAACGGCTGGCCGAAACAGCGTCAACACAGCCGACAACCCGTAAACGGCCCCGATTGTGCTTTCGATGCGGCTTTGCAGGACACATGCCAGCAGACTGCAAAGCCGAGTCCACATCAGCTGGTCAGCCCGTCGCACCGTTCTCCTCTGAGTCCTGCAGCAAGAACACTCTCCTCGCCCCCAACAACAAGCCCTTCTGCTTCAACTTTGCCAAGGACTCTTACTGCCCATTCAAAGAGAACTGCCGAAACTACCACGGCTGCAGCCTCTGTGGTGGATCGAGCCATGGAGCAGCTGCCTGCCGCGTCCGAGCCTGACCCACGAACTGTCTTTACCCCGATCGACGCATCAAAAGCAGAATCTATCTTACGTTCATTTAATCTCTACAATACCTGGCAGCATGTAATCTTTGGTCTCCGTAATGGTTTTGATGTGGGGATTCGGTCATTACCCACCCACACAATTTTATTTCGACAATCATGCATCCTCCCGCCTCAACCCAGAGTTCATAGCATCGTACATCGAGAGCGAACATGCAATTGGGCGCTACTCACGAGCATACTCACCAGAGGAGCTCGAGCAGCTAATTGGCCCCTTTCGCACATCACCCATTGGCTTAGTTCTCAAGCCCAACTCGTCAAAATACCGCATGATTCAGGACCTCTCCTTCCCACGCAACCATCCATCGATCCAATCCGTCAATGCTGGAATCGACTCGGACGAGTTCCCTACTTCTTGGGGGTCATTCGAGGCAGCCTCCGAGCTGATTCTCAACCTTCCGATAGGCTGCCGTGCGGCGACATTCGACATTTCGGCGGCTTATCGGCTCACCCCCATCCGACCCGACCAACAAAACGCACTCTGCATCCTTTGGGATGGAAAAGTCCGAGTCGACAGAGCAGTCATGTTTGGGATGGCGTCAAGTGCCGGAGTGTTCGGTTGCGTGGCAGACATGCTAGTCGATATCTACAAGGCAGCTGGATTCGGGCCATTAATCAAGTGGGTCGACGATTTCTTCGTGGTACAGCTACCAGGTGCGACATGGACAGAGGAAGACTTCACCGGCCTCACAGCAGCTATGGGGGTACCATGGAGTGCCGAGAAGATTCGTCCGCTCGCACAGACACAACGGTACATCGGGTTCGATTGGCACCTCCACACGAAGTCAGTCATACCAACCGGATCGAA